AAAAAAAGCCAGGTATGGTGGTACACCTGTCATTCTAGTTACTCAGGAGGCTGAAGTGGGAGAATCACTTGAGCCCAGGAGATTGAGGCTTCTGTGAGCCGTGATCACAACACTGCACTCCAACCTGGGCCGCACAGTGAGACCCCATATCTAAAAAATAAATAAGTAAAAGTGTAAATTCAAGATAATGGGATTTCAGACTCTTTCCCTTGAAGCAATGAACTGCAGGAGGCAGAGCCCCATGATCCTGAGCAGGTCCCTCCCCGCCCGGGGCCTGGGCATCCCCAGGTGGGTGGTGGGCAGCCATCTAGCTATTGGGAAGCAGCTGGAGCATGGCGGGAGGGAAATGAGTGTGAGTGCCTGGAAATCCAGAGGGCTGGGACCCAGGGTGGGGAGGGGGAGGTGAAGGAGGCAGAAGACCCTCCTTCCTGGCTAGTCCTCAGCTCTGAGCCTGTGGTTGGAGGCCTCCGTCTGCTGTCTGTCCCCTGCCCAACCAAGGCCCTCCCCATTCCCCCTGCTCTGAGAACCCCAGCTGTGCTGGAAGCCCTGCCCCAGCCCTGGATGCCAGGCTGACTGGCCCAGGCTCCCCTGACTGGCTCCCCACTCCCGCCAATGCCCAGGTTATGTTCACCCAGGCGGGAGTGGAGGAGTCATAAAGAAGCCCCCAGCTCCTACAGGAAGTTCTCTCCCAGCAATACCAGGGTGCAGGCCTGGGGGCAGGCAAGGCCCAGGCACATGCACAGCCTGGCTACTTCAAGTTGAGGGGCATCGGGCAATGCCTGCGCTTCTGTTTCCTCTTCCACGAAATAGATACACGTGCCTCCCTTGCGAGGTGTCATCATCAGCCGGGCGCCCCCACACCATCGACCGTCTCACAGGTAAGTCCCTTGGTTCACCATGAGCTGAGGTGATCTAGGGGGTCACAGCCAATTATGCTGGGAGAACCACTTACCCTAGACTCCCTAAACTCCCCATGGGCACCATTCTCGCCTCCTCAGGGGCCCCACTGCAGCCTCCTCACTGGCGCCTGCCTCCAGCACCTCCATCTCCCACCTGCTGCCAGAGGGACACTCGGAATGCAGAGTCATGTCCCTGCCAGCCCCTGGACCTCCCCCACCTCAGCTCTGATCACTTGGTGCTCTCATCGCCTGCTTGCTTGTCACCTCCCTACCAGCCCTGTGGGTGGGGATCCTGTCTTATTCACCTAGGCAATTCCAGAGCCCTGTGCAGGGCCTGGCACAGGAGTCCTGCCCAGAGACAGCAGCCTTGGTAGTGGGATGGACAAACAGGGCCATTTACCCCTTCTACCCTGGCAGGCACCTGCTTCTCAACTGGCATATCCATAACAAAGCTGAGCTCAGTGTGGGGCCAGGGTTGGGGTCTGTGCAGGACCAGGATCAAGGTTCAGTCCTGTTCAGGATCAGGGCTCAGTGTGAGGCTGGGATCAAGGCTCAGCA